TTTTAAGCAGTAAGTTTTCTTCATCAAACCTTTAGATCCGCTGCGCATAGGTTTATGTTGAATGTTTGTCCGTGATTTGTGCATATCGAGATCCTCGTGGGTTTCAACAATAACAATGTGACATAATGTTTATCAAAATTAATGGAGTTTGTTACAATGACTTTTTGGAATGATTGAAAAATAATATATTTATTTTGGTATGTATCATTTATCAAATCTCGAGATTTTTTTCGCAATATCTAACTCCAAACTGTTAGACTTGTTATGATATACTCAAATCTTTGCATATCTCTACTTTATTTTGTTTCATTCTTTTAGGTTTTGTACTCTATATATTCGTACTCATGTATTCAGTTTACGCAAGTGAGAATAATATCTCTTTGATTATCACATGGTATCAACCAAACTCTTTGGCAAACCCTAATCTTATTCCATGGCCGCCGAGGGTAGCATTCCTTCGATTCCTCTGTCTACAATGATCCATATGGTAAATATCAAACTCACTTCCGCAAATTACCTCTTGTGGCATGCCCAGATCGAACCCCTTCTCATCACTCAGGGTTTTCTTCCGCATCTGGATGGCTCATCCCCATGCCCATCGCGCGAGATCACTACACCGGCAGGTACAAAAAGTACGAATCCCGACTTCGCCACTTGGTATTCCTGGGATTAACTAATCCGGCTATTTCTTGTTTCCACTCTTACAGAGGAGTCCATGGCCGTGGTTATTGGCTGCACTTCGTCCCGTGATGTCTGGACCTCTCTGACTCGCGCCTATAGTCATGCCTCGAAGGCTCGAGAACTCAGCCTGAAGGACGATCTTCTCTCGGTCAAGCGTGGGGATCTCTCCGTTTCTGAATATGGACAGCGTTTCAAGGCAATTTGTGACAAACTTGCTGCCATTGGTCGGTCTATTGATTCGACTGACAAATCTCACTGGTTCCTGCGAGGTTTGGGGCCTGCTTTTTCGACGTTCACGACCGCGCAACTTGCTCAGGAGCCTCTTCCTGATTTCGACACACTTCTTGCCCGCGCCGAAAGTCACCAATTTTTCTAACATTCATCTGACATCTCGCCATCGTCATCTTCGGTTGCATTTTATGCTGCTTCTAAGGCCCGTCCTCCGACCTCGTCTCAGCCACAAGGACGCTTCAAGAAAAATAAAGGCAAAGGTCGTCATCCGCCGTGGTGTTATTTCTGTCGTGAAGAGAACCATGATGTGTGGGACTGTCCTAGACGTTTTGACCGCTCTTTCACTCGGCTTTCCCGATCGTCTACTACAGCTAATCTGGCCGAAGCACTATCATCAAGCTGCTCTATATCGCAACCTAATGTTTCTGTTTCTGATTGGTACTTAGACACTGGGGCTTCTGCCCATATCACCTCGGATGCATCTCAGCTTGATGATCTTACTGATTACAACAGCTCCAATCGTGTCACAGTGGGTAATGGTGATCAACTTCCTATCACGCAAACTGGTTCTGTTATTTTCTCTAATTCTTTTTATTTACGCAATGTCCTCGTTGTGCCCAGAATGACTAAGAATCTTTTGTCTGTTAGCAACTTGACCAGAGACTTACCTGTTCATGTTATCTTCACTGACTCTTCCCTTCGTATTCAGCAAAAGGACAGCGGTAACATAATCGCAACCGGCGTGCGTGATCGTGGCCTATACCATTTGGATTTGGCGGTCAAGGTTTTTGCTGCTCACACATCCATATCTCAGCGTGCTTCCTCGGAACTTTGGCATTCCAGACTTGGACACTCCTCCCCAGCTATTTTATCTACCTTAGTTAATCTGAAGATGTTATCTGTTACTTCCAGTTTTTCTAAGTCCGTCTCATGTAATTCGTGTCATTTAGCTAAAAGCAAGCGTCTGTCTTTTCCTATTTCAACAAAACGATCTTCTGCTTTATTGGAGTTAATTCATTGTGATTTATGGGGACCTTCCCCGGTTACTTCTACTGCTGGATTTCGGTATTATGTTATTTTTGTGGATGACTACTCGCGCTTTACTTGGTTCTACCCTTTTCATGCTGAATCAGATTTTTATGAAACTTTTATAAGCTTCCAGGCATTTGTGGAAAATCAGTTCTCTTGCATCATAAAGTGTTTTCAAAGTGACGGGGGTTCGGAGTTTGTTAACAATCGTGTTAAAGCACACTTTTCTAAATGTGGAATTCACCATCTTCTATCTTGTCCGTATACTCCGGAGCAAAATGGTAGAGCTGAACGGAAGCATAGACACATCACGGAAATGGGTCTCACTCTTTTGTTTCATTCTTCAGCTTCTCTACATTTATGGGTTGAAGCCTTCAGTACTGCTGTGTTCACTATTAACCGACTTCCTTCACCGGTTCTTGACAATATTTCGCCATTTGAATGTGTTTATGCAACCCAGCCGAGTTATGATCTTTTTCGCGTTTTTGGTTGTCGGGTTTGTTCGTGTCTACGCGACTATGTGAAGCACAAGCTCCAACCTCGCAGTCATTCGTGCATCTTCATCGGCTATAGCCCTTCTCACAAAGGTTTTTATTTTTGGCATGATTGGACGATTTCGAGGTTAGCATAGTTACGGTGCTTGGATCCGTCGAACTCGAAGGTCTATGTCACTCGCCATGCCCACTTTGATGAATCGTGATTTCCTTTCTCCG